TGGGATTTGAGCTAAACACCCTATAATCAAATCGAATCATTTACAAATTACAATCCATACAAAAACAAGACACCATCATACAATGACAAGAAAAGAAAAGAAATCAGGGTCATGTGTATATTTGTTGTATTCATCTAAGTTTCACAAATTGGTCTCATCAAGGAGAGAGTAACACAGTGCTGTTCTCATCATCGTCTATAATCCTCGGTAACGTGTACCTGTCTAAATCACGACCCACGAAGCTGTGTGTTGCTGATGAAGACGAAGAAAGAGAGGGCGATGAGCAAAGCATTGACTCCTTCATCTCTCTCCTTATCACCCATAGCTTTTCTGCACAGCCTTTCATAGCTGGACGTGTAGCTCTCGTTGGGGCAACACATTCGCTCGCCAGTCTCAGCATCTTCTCGGCCACTTCAATGACAGCTCGGTTTCTCTTGAGCAATGGGTCCATTACAAGAACAGCTTCATCGTCTTTGAGTCTCTTCAATGCCTGCACAAAATAAAAACGACTTTCTCTTTATTCAGTCGTTGAGATTTTCTCTCTCTCAAGCTTACGGTGAAGGGGGAAAAGAGAAGTTACTTACCCATTTAACCGTGAGCCGGTCTTGTCGTGCTCTCTTTAACTCAATGGGACGTCTTCCGGTGATAAGCTCTATGAGCAAAACACCAAAAGAGTAAACATCGCTCTTGTCGGTTAGTTGAAACGTCCTGAGGTAATCTGGATCCACATAGCCTGCAGATCCTTTGACTTGGGTTGATATATGAGTAGTCCCGGGATCTTCAGAAACTAAACGAGCAAAGCCAAAATCTGCCACTTTAGCTCTAAGCTTTTCCGTGATGAGGATATTTGATGCTTTAATGTCTCTGTGTATTATTGGAGTCTCTGCATTCAAAAATGATTGCTGAGGTCTTGGATTATAAAATCCCTAATGCCTAAATTCTTGGCACTAAAGCTATACATACCGTAAGATGGATAAAAACAGAGAAGCGGGAATGAGTAAGAGTACCTGTATATGTGTGCAGATAGGTCAATGCATGAGCTACATCAATCGCGATCTCAAGACGTTCTGCCATTTCAAGGCGGTTACCCCGTGAACCTGCAGTTGATAAAGAAGAAGAAAAGTTGAGAACCGTAAATTCATATTTGGAAACTTTCTCTTTGTCCTAAAATTTAAGAGACTGGACCTTGTCTTT